TACAAACAATAAATGCTGGAGAGGGCATGGAGAAAAGAGAATCCTCCTACACTCTTGTGGGAATGTAAATTGGTAGAGCCACTGTGAAGAACAATATGGAGGTTCCTTAAAAAACTAAAAATAGAGCTACTATATGACCCAGCAATACCACTCCTAGGCATATATCCAGAGAAAACCATAATTTGAAAGGATGTGTGCACCCTGATGTTCATTGCAGCTCTATTACAATAGCCGGGACGTGGAAGCAACCTAAATGTCCATCGACAGAGGAATAGATAAAGAAGAGGTGGTACATATATACAATGGAATATTAGTCAGCCATAAAAAAGAACGAATTAGTGCCACTTGCAGAGATGTGGATGGATCTAGAGACTGTCATACAGAATGAAGTAAGGCAGAAAAAGAAAAACAAATATCGTATAATATCTCTTTTACATAGAATCTAGAAAAATGCTAGAGGTGAACTTATTTGCAAAGCAGAAATAGAGTCACAGATGTAGAGAACAAACTTATGGTTACCAAGGGGGGAAGGGGGGATGGCATGTATTGGGAGATTGGGATTGACATATATACATAGCTATGTATAAAATAGATAACTAATGAGAACATACTGTATAGCACAGGGAACTCTACTCAGTCCTCTGTGGTGAACTAAATGGGAAGGAAATCTAAAAAAGAGTGTATATATGTATACGTATGAGTTATTCACTTTGCTGCCCAGCAAGATGCTAACACAACATTGTAAAGCAACTATACTCCAATAAAAATTAATTAAAAAATACACACCAAATACAAAAAAAAAAGTAAGTATGTACATTGTTTTTTAAACATAATGCTATTGCACACTTGATAAACTAGAGTAGAATGTAGACATAACTTTTGTATGAACTGGGAAATGAAAATATTCATGTGACTTACTCTATTGCGATCTTTGCTTTATTACAGTGGTCTGGAACTAAACCCACAATATCTCCACCACCATATTCAAATATCTTTGAAAACCACTTAAGTCGCTCATGAAGTATAGTCTTCCATATGCATAGACACGTATAATAATGTGCATGTGTCAGTATATAATGTATAGCATCTATTTAGAAAGATATGTGCAAAATAGAACTTTGGGCCACTATTTAAATTGCCATTTTTCTTTTAATTTTTCTGAAGTCAGGTAGTTGAATTTACATAAGGTGACAGTACCAGAGCAACTGTGTGACTCCACAGCGGTATACACAATGCTCCAAAGAACTTTGATCCACTCCAGTGGGTTGGCAGGTGCCTCACTAGCCCCGGTTCTGCATCCTGCCCACCCCACCCCCAATACATGCCCTTTGCCCCTTTGCTGTCCTCCCGCCAGAGGTGGAGGGAGCTTCAACTGCCCAGTGACTTTGTGCTCGGCCATGTGACTTCCTTTGGCCAGTGAAATGTGGGTGACAGTGTGCCACCACTGATCCCAGGGCTTAAGAGGCATCATATGCTCCTTCTTGCTCTTTCATGCCGCTGCCTTCACAATAAGGCAAGTTCTAGAAGGATACACGTGGAGCAGCCCTAAGCCTGACCCACAGAGAGGAGCCAAGCTCAGCTGGACCACAACTTGCAGCAGAGCTGCCAGGTTGAGCCCAGCCCAGGTCAGCCAATGTCCAGCTGACCTGCAGATGCAGGAGTTAGTATAAATAATGTAACCTACCAAATCTTGGTGTAAGTTGTTATGCAGCAATAACTAACTGATACAGTGGGCATTTCTCATCAGCCCCTTTTTCTATTTCAGAAAGTTCAGGTCACATCTTGCCAAATTTCAACACCCTCCCATCCCGCCCTAGGAAATCTATTTTCATTTCTATTCATAGTTTCTCTCCTCTCTGACCAACACAAAGGATTTTTTAAATTGCCAATTTGATGTGCAAATAAATGATCTCCCTCTTTTTGCATTTCTTTTATTATAAGTGAGGATGAACATTTTTAAAATATATGTTTACTAGTCTATTGACTCTCTTTTGTGACTTGATGGTTTGTATTTCTGGGACTTGAAATAATTCACCTCTGATTACCCTGCCACTGAAGAAAACTGAAGAGTGTTTGAATGAATGAATTCCTTGAGTTCTGAGCCTCTCCTCAGTCTCATAGGCTTAGAACAACCCTATCAGGTGAGTGCTATTTGTGTACAATTTTAATAATGCAGTTTCCTATGTTGCAAAAATACAAATTTTCTGAAAGCCTCCTGAGTCCAGCATGGTGCAACTGAAATAGTCTTCAGAACTAGAAGAACTGGAGATGAGTTCTAATGACCAAAGGAAAGTCATTTTATTTCTCTCAGCCTCAGTTTTTCCATCTGTAAAATGGAGATAATAATAGAACATCCCACTCAATGTTGCTGTGAAGAGTAAGTAAGGTCATGGGTCACCAACACAAAAATATAATGCAGCTAGCATGATGCATACCCCGCAGTAGGCCCTTAAAATATCAGATTCTGCACTGAGTTTTCCTTCCTTTCATGGATGGGCCAAAGGGATTAAGAGAAAAGAAAGATGTCTCTGGAGTGAGAGCCATCAGGGAAGGTTTCCTGAAGGAAGTACAATTTGAGCTGGGTGTTAAAGGGTGGGGAGGGTTCTGGAGTAGTGGATGGAAGAAGGGAAGATATTGTGGGTGTGGAGACATGGTAAGAACAGGCTTGGAGCCAGGAGCTGTTCTAATAAATGTTGCTGTTAGTCAGTACCCAGTGTATGTCAAGGGCACACAAGCTAATCCACATAAGGTAATATTTTATTTTTGTTTTTATCATCATCGTCATCATATTCCCATTTCATGGATGTGAAGCAGAAACTGAGAGAGGTTACGTGACGTCCCCAAAGCCACACAACTGGTCATTGGTGCTGGCTTTGAATCTGATCCTAAGTCCTACCCTCTTTTAAGCAAACCATCTGTAGCAGCCATAGCGGTGCTTCTGGGTCTCTGGCTTCAAGAGAGAACCTGCTGTTCAGCTGTAGGAGTGCCCAGCTTCAGGGCAGCATCATACCAAATCCACCCCCACATCTGGGCCAAGGCCCTGCACTTCTGGGGCAGACCCCGGCCAGGGGACTGAGTTGGGAGGAGGGACTAGGGCCTGGCTATTCTTGCCCAACACGGCACTCCTCTGAGGGGCCATCTTTGCTCCTGTCTCCCTGTAGAGCTGGCTGAGACTCTGTCATGGCTACATGTCGGTCTGAGACTCTGCCTCCACCTTGCATCTTTCACAGGCCTTCCTCGCAATAAACCTCTCCCACTCCCAGCTCCATATGTGTGGGCTTCTGGAGGACCCACAGACATACCATCCTGGTCCATCCTCTCCACAAGCCTGATGCAGATGGGTGGGCCCTGAGGAGACCCACTGCCTGGTGCAGGGGGCTCAGTGGGGCAGTGTTGGGGGCGAGGGATGGCTGTGAAGGGTCTTGAAGGATCATAATAACCGAGACCAAGCATTTACCACGTGCCAGGCACCATTTAAGATGCTTTCTTTTAACTTACCTTTTCAATTAATCCTCACAAGAACTCTGACAGGGAGGAACTGTTACTGTCTTTATTTTACAGATGAGGAAAGCCCAGAGAGTTTCAGTAACTTGATTGTGCAGGTAAAGGCCTACTACGTGGCAGTGCTGGATCCTAACCCAGGCAGTCAGGCTCCAGAACCTCAGTTCTAAGCTGCACCTGTCCAGCTGGATGCTGGGAAACTCTCTGTGCTTGCCCTTCCAGGCGGGGAAATGATGGGAGTCTTGCACACAGAGGACCCTGCCACCTCCATCGCGCCCAGCCAGTATGCTCAGTGCTGGTGTCTGTGCTGCCGGCCTCAGACAGGCCACAGAGTCCCCAGAAAAGGGAAGCAGGAGGGAGGAGAGTTATTTCAAGCGGACGGTAGTGTCACACAGAGGTCATGCCCAACATATGGCGGCCCCAGCCGCCCAGCCTGTTCTCTGACCATTGAGGATGCACTCCTGCTAGTTTTACCCAGCTCCTCTTCAGTCCCACCGTCAGCCGCCTATCAGCCACAGCACCAGCGTGCCACACACTGCGGCTACTTTCTGTGGTTTCTGCGGTTCTAAAGGGACTTCCTCAGCTTACCTCGGCCTGAGAGCTTAGCAGAGGACCCACCAGGAGGAGGTGCAGGCAGCAACTCTCCGGGCTGTGTGAATCCCCCTCTACTTCTCGCTGGCTGTGTTTAGTTTTATTTGGCCGTTATTGCTACCTAACAAACCACCCCCAAACCTAGTGGCTTTCAGTTGCAACCATCTATGATTACTCATGAGTTTATGGGTCGCTTGGGCAGTGAGTCCTTCTGATATGGGCTTGACCAGTCTCTGCTGGGTTCGCTAACGTGACTGGGGCCAGCTGTTGGCTGGCTCGCAGAGGATGGCCTCTGCTGGGGTAACTGGGTCCTTCTTCACATGCTCACTCCTCCCCCAGCAGCTTAGCCTGGGCTTGGTTTCATATCGTGGCAGGAATTCCAAGCGAGGGAGTGGAGCAGTAACAGCTTTGGTTCCTGTTAGAAGAGCTGCGGTCACGTCGCAAAGGCAACGTGAATAGAAAGGTGGTGAATTGGGACCAGCATACCCCGGTACTGAACCTCTCAGTGACTCAATTTGCTTATGTATGAGATGCAAATGATACCGCTTGTATCATATGATGCTCTGGTGTGCTGTGTCCTTTTAGGGGTTGGTCGGTCAGGTGCAGCCTCAAGAGGGGACCCAGGAGGGGAAAACAAAGTCTATTACACTCACAGGTCCTAGTGAGACAGAGTCGCTGCAGGCTGAGAGGGAGCCACCCACAGAGAGCACCAAGGGGGTGGGTCAGCCACGCAGGCAGGGAGCTGGGAAAGGGTGAGAACCCGTGGGTGAGGGCCTTTGTCGGGGAGGGGGTGGGTGCGGTACACAATCAAACAGTGTGAGGGGATTTCATTGGTGCGTTTGAATGTCATTAGGTCACAGCGACAGGAAGGGAGGAAGGGGAATTTGTGGCAGGGCCCAGCTTATCACACTGGTGCACCTGGTCACCTGGGCTGGTGCTCATAGCCTGTTTGTGGCGATGCTGAGGCAGCAGGAAGGTAAGAACTTTTTTTTTTTTTTTTTTTGCGGTACGCGGGCCTCTCACTGTTGTGGCCTCTCCCGTTGCGGAGCACAGGCTCCGGACGCGCAGGCTCAGCGGCCATGGCTCACGGGCCCAGACGCTCCGCGGCATGTGGGATCTTCCCGGACCGGGGCACGAGCCCGTGCCCCCTGCATCGGCAGGCGGACTCTCAACCACTGCGCCACCAGGGAAGCCCGATAAGAACTTTTAAAATTTACAATACACCTTGTAATAGTTGGGCTCCATGATTTTGTTTCGAAAGCTAATCTTGTAAAAGGCCTCGGATTAGATTTGCCTCTGGAGAAAACCATTCCTTTGTATGGGGGAACCTGTTTAGTGGGTGGGGATGCAGGGGTCTTTAGTCACAAAAATTAGAGTACAGTGTGCAACAAGGGTGTGCCTCCCATCTGAGGAAAGACTATGAAGCAATCCCAATACGAGAAGCTAAGTACTCTGTTTAGCATTCCTTCATTTGTTCAGGCAGTCATTCATTTATTCAGGGAGCCAGTCAGAAAATATTTATCATGAGTCTGTTGTGTAAGAGGCATTGCATAAGAGAAACTGCATGAACAAAGGACTGGATGTGATAGAGGGGAAACAAAACATTAAGGTTGCTGGAGGACCAGGTGAGATTGTCAGGGGCACATCCTTGTAAGCCGTGATGGTGAGTTTGACCCACTGCCTAAGGGAATGGGGAGCCACTGAAGGCTATAGGCAGGGAGTGGCATGGTGAGCTGTATCATTTCTAAAGATCTCTCAGGCTGCTGCCTGCAGAGCGAATAGGTGGTTGGTAGAGCACGGTGGATGCAAGAGATTAATTAGGAGAAGTTCCAAGCACCCAGGCCACTGGGGCTGGGGCCTGGATCATCTTGGTGGCAGAGATGGAGAGGTTTGGGAGGTAGAATGAGTGAGACTTGGTGCCTGGTGGAGGCATGGCATTTGACACTCAGTTTCTATCTTGGACCCTGGATGGAGGGAGCCATCGGCTGAGATGGGGGCAGGATTTAGCTGCCTGGCCTTCGAGATACCTGTGTGGAGGCAGTTGGTGGACATACAGGTGGCCAGAGCTCAGGAGAGAGGTCTTCACTGGAAGTATAGGTTGGGGAATCAACAGCTAAGAGATGAAAACCAAAGCCATGGAAGGGAAATGTTGGGTGTGCTGAGCCGTGTCTCTCAGTTTCCTTGCTGTGATGGTGGTGGTGGTGGTGGGGATGGTCCATTCTCTACAAGGATTTTGTCTCTTCTGTGCCTGTAAACTGTCGTTTGTTCCTGCGGAAAGATGTGTGTGTGTGTGTGTGTGTGTGTGTGTGTGTGTGTGTGTGTGAGAGAGAGAGAGAGAGAGAGAGAGCATGCCTACTGACACATCCCTAAGGATGATGGAAGGGGCTCCCCAGGCAGGAACCAGTCCCACAGTGCATCATTCTTGGAGGAGGCAGATCCTGGGAGAGGAGATGAAGGTGGAAGAGTTGGGCCTGAGACTCCAGGGAGGACCCTCCTCTGTTTTTGTCTCCTTGTCTCCTTTCCCACCTTCCCCTGTGAGGGGCAGGGAGCTTTCACGGTACCCTCCCTTCCTGATTGCTCTGTTCAGACCTCCTGCACTTAAAACACTATAATCAAGTCAGCCAGGCTTGGCTTTTGATAAGCTAAATGGAAAAAACTAGAAAACTATTTCTGCTTTCAACTCTATTTTCACGGCTCTCCTCTTTCTAAAGAGGTTCAGGAAGTCAGCTCTGAGGTTCAGACGGGAGAGATGACATCTTTGTTTCAGGCTGTACCTGCCCTTTCCTTCCTTTACGGGGGTGGGGGAATGGGGGTGGGGTGGGAAACAAGGAACAGGCAATAAGATTGGAGAGATAAGGAAGCTGATAAGACACATTGGTTACCATTTGCAAAATATTATATCCCAGCACCCCCTGATAGGGCTTAAAATGTCCTCTTTCCTCCCTGACTGACCTACCACTCCCCTATCGTGAAGTGCCAGGAAAACCTGCATCATTATAGAGGTTTCTGACAAATGAAAACAGGCAGCTTTCAACCCCCCGTCCCATGCCCCTCTCCCTGCCGAGGGCCAGAGAGCCCCTCACGTCCCCCTGCAGCTCTGCCCTTGGTGCTGAGTGCAGCCTCTGAAATTGCATATTGGGTCCTGGGTGGCTGGTTGAGCTCTTGAGGCAGAAAGCCCTGAGGTGTCCACTCCATCTCCCAGCCCTTCCACCGCTCCTCCTCGGTCCCACCATTTACAAGTGTCCCTGGGCAAGTCTCCTAACGCCCTGAGGCTGAGCTCCTTACAGGTCAAGTGTGAACGGTGATGCCTCAGAGCCGTATCCCATGCACCCCACTCTCCCAGATTTCACATTTACCTGAGCCATTTACAACACCTGGAGGGAGAGGGCGAGAGCATGTGATTGCGCTCAGAGAATATGTATCCCAGGGGAAGACTGCAAAGGGAGAGGGAGGCCAAATTTCTCAGAGAGGGTGAGCTGCTCTACCTTCTTGGTTTAATTCAGTGGTTCATTCCATAAATATTTACTGAGCCCCTATAGGGGTGAATAAAACAGAAAAAAGTTCCTTCATTTATGGAGCTCACATCCTAATGAGAACAAATTTTCATGCTTAATGGTACATTTTCTATTTTCCATGAAACCTGGTGCCAGCTACACGCGGTCTCTTCATTTGCTGCCGAGCAGCTCCAGTGCTGGAGGGAGTGCCCGCTGCTGTGCAGAGATGCTACATCGGATTGATTGAAAGGCTGGTCATGACTATTTCTGTCTACAGGTGAGCCTCGCTTTCGGCATTGCATTTCAGCCCTCCCATACCCTCAGCCTCCCCGGCTCTGAGCTGAGACTCCACTGTCCCCGTACGTGGGAATGGGGGTGCAGGAAACGTTAGGACTCAGTGAAAGGCTGTGTGCAGGGAGCGGGCAGGAGGGAGGAGCTAGTGATTCCAGCCACGGTGCAGGGCGGTGCCAGGTAGCGCTTTGAGCTTTATTAGCAAGCCCACTTCAGAGGCTGTCAGCCACCCCAGGGAACCCCTCAGAGAGCACGGCCTCCCTTCGTGGGCTGAGTGTCTTGGCTGTGGACGCCTTGGGGGCAGAGCAGTGAATGGCCTGTGGGGTCATCTGCAGTCCACACCCGCATCCTCACTGTGGTTGCAGTTGTGAGAGCCCCAGTTGTTCTTGCTGCAGCTCCACAGAGTCGATTCCGACCCTTGACACGCAACGTTGTCCAGCCAGATGGTTCCAGTGCCTGGACACAGCAAAAGCAAGGAGGGAGAGGAGCGTGGGATTAGGGTCCAAGCAGCATAGCCTGTCTGTCCTCAGGGTCTTCCACGGGGAGCTAGACTGCCAATTTCTCCCACATGTGCACAGGCCCACTGTGCTGATGGCTGGTCGGCTCTCTTACGATGGCTCTGCCTCTGTTCTTCTTTCTACCCTTTGACAAAAGTCTCATCCGAGTATTTAATATGTAACCCAAGCATGATTTGAAATCTCCTCCTAGGGATCTCTAGGGTTTGTCTCTTCCTTAAATGCCTTTGTAAACAGGCCATTCACGTGTTCTAAAGCACTCACACCTTCCTCAAACCCCCTTCCTTCTGATATAATTGATTTCAGATCAGGAGCTCAGAGGAATTACCGGATTATTTGATTTCCGTAATTTACACTACAGTGTGACCATCTATAGAGGCTTAATCTGTTTGAGGAGAATGTGTATTTTAAAGGAGTTTTGTAATCCAACTGGACTCAAATTGAAAAGTAGGTATGCATTTTGGTGGGGTTGTGGGGAGGGGTAAGGGCAGAGAACATTTTGGGGTGGGGGCAGGAGAAACGGGCCTAGTGTCCCTGCCAGATCAGCTCAGAAATGGTCTCAGGCCTGGGGCTTAACTCGTTTGTTGAAAGTCTAAACCTTTTGCTGCAAGACATAGCTGAGTCTCTAGCACCCCAGGACATCTTTCCAAAACTGATTTTAGGAGGTCCCTGCTCTGATTCGTTTTCTCTTCCCTTCCACCTTCTCCTTGAAGATGATCAAGCTTGGGCCACCTAGACTGTCAGGTTCCAGAGAGCTGGGATGACCGCTGTGCTGCCTGCCCTGCATCCTTCTCTGTTCTCCCAGCTCCAGCCCCTCAGCTGTCCAGAGAGTGTCCCTCACAAACACCCTCCGACACATGGCATTCTGGCTTTAGGGCTGGACAGACAGCAACTCAAACAAGCCTTTGCTGTCCCTTTGGGGAAGAGAGCCTTCTTTCTCCTGGGGCTGCCAAGTCTGAAGGATGTAAGCTGGGGCCCTGGGCTGCAGAACTTTTCAGTTGCTTGAACCAATCCTTTTCTTTTAACGCAACCAAGCTGAGTCACTTGCAACCAATGGTTGCCAACACCCTACCAGGGAGAGAAAGCCCACATCAGCACCTCAAGGAAAGAGGCTCCTGGTTGAGGATCGATTCACTTACCAGCTCCCACGTTGAAAACGGCAGTTCCCGAAGAGAAACCCAGCATGCGGCAGAAGACGGTGGCATCTGAATTGTCCCAGTCATCATCGCAAATTGTCCCCCAGGCACCATTATAGTAAATTTCAGCCCGGCCTCGGTTCCTAGAGCCAGCAATCCGGACGGATACCGTGGATTCGCCTGGATGACAAAACACACATGGGAGAGGTGAGGGAAGCAGCCCAGGGCTTTGTGTGAATGTAGGCTCTACCATTTCATTTCTGGAAGTCTTATAGTTAGGGAAAAGAAGCCTCCTGCTTGGCTGCCACCACAGCTGGGAAGATCCCACTTGCTGGCACCAGCACAACCAGCGGCTCTGTGCACCTGGGCCTGCAGGTGCGAGGCCATGGGGGCAGGTCCCTCTGCAGCTGGCCTTGCAAATCCAGCCCACCATATTTAGCCTTGTGTTGTCGATAAAAAAGGGGGAGGAAAGGAGGGAGGGAGGGAGGAAGGTGTTATCTGTGGCTCTGTGCCACGGGCAGGCTTATTCAAGGGACAAGCCCTTAGCTTTCCCCCCAAATGAGGAATCTCTCTGACAACCAAGGCCTCTCCCCCTAGCACACCTACAGTTTTCAAGTACAGAGTAACCTCTGAAACACACTTTAAAGAGAACAGAAATAGCAATTACCTTTTTGACCTTTTTCTCCCTTTGCTCCTTTCGGCCCAGAAGATCCTATCATGAGGAGAAAAACCACACAGTTCGAAGGAAACCAAGCCAGGACCCCCTTGCCCTCCTTTGCCAGCAGTGGGGAGGAGGGGCGGGCAGGAGGGTGGAGGGGTGAGGGTCAGACTCCCTCCTTCAGCTTTGCCAGCCACCTGACATCATGGGGACTGGATGTGCCGTGGGATCCCATGGGTGAGCAAGAAGAAGTGGGCCTGGGGCTTCCCTGGTGGCGCAGTGGTTGAGAGAGTCCGCCTGCCGATGCAGGGGATATGGGTTCGTGCCCCAGTCCGGGAAGATCCCACATGCCACGGAGTGGCTGGGCCTGTGAGCCATGGCCACTGAGCCTGTGTGTCCGGAGCCTGTGCTCCACAACGGGAGAGGCCACATCAGTGAGAGGCCCGTGTACCGCAAGGAAAAAAAAAAAAAAGGAAGAAGAAATGGGCCTGAGCCACAGCAGGAAGGATTTAAGCTCTATTAGAGAGGAACATTCAAGAGACATGGAGTTAGAAGTCTCTCCTGCCATCAGTCATGGAGACTGTGTGGTCCAGGGCCTGACTGGGCGTGGTGCCAGCGCATGGTCACCGGCCTGCCACTCGGAGTGCCCGGCCGGGCCTTATTCTCCTCTGTAAGCTCAGCGCTGAGGGCGATCCCAGCACAGGACTTGGCCACAGAGCCACTAAACCTCTAACCTTCTGGTTCTGAAAACTCCCAGCACCTTATGACAGGCCTCTCCTTAGAACCCTCACATCAGAAACCGAGGCCTTACCTTTTGCTCCGGGCTCTCCCTTTTGGCCGTCTGGTCCAGGTGCCCCCTTGAGACCGACCAGGCCTGGGCTTCCCATCTCTCCCTTCATGCCTGCAGGGCCTGCGGAGGAGAGAGACCACCTCCATCAGATGCTCTGCTCTGCTTTCCAAGGGGGACCAAGGGCCTTGGTGTTTAGTGCATGAGTTGTCCTAAACCACCAGGTTCCCGCCCTGCCCCCATCAATGGGCTGTTCGAATGTTCAGCCCGGGTGGGCAGGGCACTGCCCTGATCCCCCGACTCCTGTGTAAACTCTGGTTGAGGACGAGTGGGTGAAAATCGCTGACAGTATTCCAAGGCTGTTGTTCCTCATTGGAAGGCATGATTGTGTGGACGTTCTAGCCATTCTGGGAGAATTTGCTAGAACATTTCTAGGATTCAATTTCTCCTTCAGTAAGTTAGAATAGGGATAGAATATCCAGCTCAGGTGGAAGAAAGACTGCTCAGGAAATGTGTCTGAGGAGTGTCGCTTTGGCTTCTCAGGGTAGGGCTGGCGAGAAGACTAGAAATGCCGTGGGCAGGACGCAGTAACCAACCACTAGCTGAGGCGGGGGCCCACGAGGACCTTGATGACAGCCCCGTGAGAAGCAACAGGAAGAGGGGGGTGCCTTGAGGGCCAAAGGGTAGAGGGAGATGGACCGAAGCAGATGTGGACAGGCAGATAGAGGCCATGCAACCAACCTGGCAACTGGAGAGGAAGGTCGCCCAGCTCCTCGGCGGCTGCGCGGCCTGAAGCCACCACCAGGGGCAGTTGTCCTGGCTTTCTTTACCCTCCACCCCCTCTGCCCCCACCCCTCTCTCTACACCCCTTCCCCAGGTTTGTCACCCAAAGAGTCTGAGGCTGGAGCGATAGAGCCCTGCAGGCGGAGACACTCTGGGGAAAGGTTACTGAGGTTACCGCCGTGATTTCAGGGTCGACAAGACCCACCCTTGGAGCACAAGCCCTTCCAGTCATTGCTGTGAGAAATGAAAATGAAGCCGGCACTTTACCTGGAACTCCTGATTCTCCTTTTGTTCCTTTCTGTCCTTGAAGTCCTAAGATCAAAATACAAAAAATGGGAGAAGATAATAAAATGTAGATAATAGACGCTTTTAATCTTAGACAACCTCTACCTTCTGTCTGATTAATGCAGAAGGAAAGGTACATTGGTTCTCCACGATTGTTTAAAGCCTCTTTAGCAGAGCATAAATGTAGACAGACTGCAGATAAATGGGGACGTGTGTTGGGGTGAAATAGAAATGTATTGGATGAAAGTCTAGGTTAGATGGACAGACCCCGGACTCAGTGGCTGGCCTTCCTTGTCCAGAAATAACCTGACTTGGTGTCTAAATTCAATCCCATTCCTTTCTGTTGCATTTTATTGAAAAAGAGTTGAGAGATATTTTGAAAATAAAGTTATTTTTATTTCTAAAAGACTGCGGAGGAGACTCAGTGGCCACTAGGAGCTTTGGGGGGGCCCTCACCCTCAGTAGATATTCCATAGCGTTTATTGGTTTATTTCATTGTGGCCCCCAGTGTAGCTAAACATCCTTCTTCCTTCCTCCCATTCATCTCTTTATTCATTAACTTACATGGAAGACCCACTATCCCCAGCACCATGCTGGGTCATAATTTATTGTGGGATAATAATTTATTGGTTTAGCAACTCCATGGTCTCTCAGAGAAACAGGACTCTCCAAGACAGTTACACAAACTTGGGGAAACTAAAGCTCATTATTGACCATGAAGTAACAGTTACTAGAGGGTAACAGTGGGAATGCACTCCCACCATGCTCTTGACTGGTATCCCTTCCACCACACCAGCTCAGTCTTAACCAAGAATCCACCCATTTGATGATCACTAGAGACCACAAGGAACTCGGTTACCCTCATTGCCAATTGCCTGGAGGAAGTTCCTGCCTTCCACTTCAGTTCCTGGCTTTCCTGAGCACCTACTGTGTGCTGGTCAGTGGAGGGCAGGCGAGGGGCCTGGTGGGCCTCTTCAGGATCCCTTCTTGGAATAATGAGCACGGAGTCTTGGCTCCTGGCAGCCTTTCAGAGGGCTCGTCTGAGGCTGGGCGCTGCCTGGGGAGGAGAGCCCGAGGGCCGAGGAGCTAGGAGCTGCTGCTGCAAGCCTGGGCACCAAGGGAGGCGGGAAGCCCTGGAAAGATCTGAGAGGGCAACTAGTTCTGCCCCTCATGTTTGAGTTGAGGACCAGAATGAGGCTCAGAGAGCATCTTCTAAAAGCTGGAGGGACCTTCGAGGTTGGCCCTGGCAGACAGGCCCCAGCTCACCCTGCGCCAGCTGTGCCCACTCCAGTCCCTCGGTTTGGAAAGCCTCACTGCTTTGGTCCCCTGGGGAATGGGATCAAGGCTGTGAAAGCTGCTAAGATGCTAGATGTTGCTGCCTCTGAAGCCTTCTCTGGCCTCGCCCGTGGCTGACGCACTTCCTTCCAAGGCAGCACAGGGGCCAGAGTCAGAGAGCCTGGGCTTGCATCTGCCTCTGTGACCTTGAGCCAGGCTCCCTCTCCCTTAGCCTCACCTTTCTCCTCTGATCCTCTGGCTGGTTGTCAGACTGAAATGAAGTTGTCTGTGTCACGTACTAAACCTCGTGTCTGACAAGCGGTGCCACGAGGACCCCGGGGCCCTGTCGGCACGTGTCTGTCTCTCCTCCAGCGGACAGTGCCTGGGACACTGGGGCTGAAGCCCCTGCAGGAGCTCCAGGCTTGCTGCCCAGCAAGCCCCCGCCCCCAGATGTTTGCTGTTGACCTTAGGTGACCCAGCACGGGCAGTAGATGTGTCCTCTCTGCTTACCTGCACCTGAATTGCAGGTGTCAAGATGAGGGAGGAGAAACCACATTCAGAAACATGTCTTTGGTTATTAAATAGAAAAATGGTTCATATCTAGACTCTTGACCCTCTCTGTCACATCCTAAAGGGTCCCATATTGCACAGATCTCTACCTTAAGAGCCTGTCCCTAGACCCAAGGTTGAGGGACACCTGGCACTGTGCTCTCCCCTTATTGCCTCTCTGCCACCGAAGAAGTCTCCAGAGCACCGAACAACAAATGTCCTATACAGACAGGAGCCCCAGGGGAGCCCCTGTTCACTAGGGCCATGGTCCCCAAGGCCTGACCCTTCCACCTCGTTTCTCACACCCTCCCTCCCAGCCCCCCACCTCTTGGGGACTCAACCTCTGCTGCTGCCTGCACCTGCACTAGGCACCACACCAGGAGCTTCACGTACATCTCTCAGCTTCCCAGTGAGGTCGTGCCATTTCCCTCTTTACAGAGGAGGAAGTCCACACTCAGAGACGCTAGGTGATTTATCCCACGTCACACAGGGATGGAGTGGTGGCGTTGGGGTTAGGACCCAGGGTTGGCCTCCCACTGGGCACTGTGGCTGCCTGTGTGCCACCAGCATGCCAGCTCACTACTTCCTGGAGTTTCACGTGGGCTCTCCACCTCGTTCCAAAGACTCCCAGTGGCCTTAGGCCATCTCTTACTCCTAAATGAGTCATCAAACTAGAGTGAGCGTCAGAATCGCCAGCACAGGGTTTGTTAAAAACAACGTGCTGGGACTTCCCTGGTGGTCCAGTGGTAAAGACGCCACACTCCCAATGCAGGGGGCATGGGTTCAGTCCCTGGCGGGGAACTAAGATCCCACATGCTGCACAGTGCGGCCAAAAAAAAAAAAAAAAAAAAAAAAAAAACCAACGTGCTAAGCCCCACCCCCCCCACCCCGGGGTTCCTGATTCACTGCATCTGGGCTGGGAATCTGAGACGCTGCACTTTTAACAGGTTTCTGGGTCTTTCTGATGCTGCTGGTCAGGGACCATGGTTTGAGTAACCACCGCCCTAAACACATCTCACTCAGTCTTCAGGGACCAGCTGACAGCCCGCGTCCTCCAAGCAGCCTTCCTATCTCTGAGGAACTCACGGCCCCTCCCCTGTCTGAGTTCTCTCGTAACCCACTGGCCCTTGATAAAATGCCCTCTGAGATGTGTATAATAGGTGTAGGTGTATGTCTTCAAAACTCCCCTCTTCAAGGCAAGGAAACTGGAATTGAGTTTTGTGTGAGTTTTTGGGGGTGTGATTTCTCTCCAGGACTGGACTCTTGAGAGGTGCTCGCTGAGTGGCTATGCATGGATCCAGGGACCACTAATGACTTCACTATAAATCAAGGCGGCATCCTGATTGGATCAGGCAGAAGGAGAAATGGTTGAAAAATAGAATTTAGAAGTTCATGTTGTAAACCTTCACTGGAAGGGAATGACTGCTGGGTTTGTCCTCTTAACCACAAGCAAACTGGGATTCCCTGGGTGTCACAGACTCATCACGCTGAAAGGGCTCAAAATATTTATTTGCAAGGTGCTTATTTATAGAAACAATTTTCCCCCAAGAAAATAGTTTAGCTAGAAAGCACATGCCTTCCTATTGTTTTGTGTTCAGCTGGTGCTCTGCCTAAAATCTTAGAAGGTCCCTGCTTGAAGGGAAAGTTGCTTGTTTCAAACCCAGAGT